TGGTGCTTGTCATATCAATGAGACTGCTAAAAAATTCAATGTTCTAATACAAGAATATCGTGATTTAGACAACAACTATACAGACCTTGAGGATAATAATACTAAGTTGATGGACGCACTTAATGATTTGATGACAAAAGTGCACAGAAGGAGTTATATTCCATCAAAAAATCAAATACTTAAGTCTGAAGAGAATTATAAATCAAAGCTCATCTATCAAGAAAATAAAAGTACTGAAATGAGACAAGAAATTTCAAATTTGAAACAGTTTTAAAAGTAATATGCAATATATACAAGGCCTCAGTGCAGTGAAACAGCAGTTGCAGTCAGTTTCATCACAGACGCAATTACTTAGCGTCAATGACCTTGCCAGGAGCCAAGACTTCATAGCATTGTATAATAAAACTGTCAACGTCGGACAAGTCCCAAATAGTAGAATTGACAGTCTGATAAGTTATTAATATTATGATAAAACTTGCATTTGATTTGGAAGTTTGGTTGTACCTGTAGAAGACTTATTACAACCGGGATAGCACATCCTTATTTTTACGGTGATGTTGTTTACCGAACCCTTAAATTTAGATACGATCCGTACAATTATCGATGCTTTAAATAAACTTATTCTAAAAGGTTGCCAATTCAAAATTGTAAATAGATATTTGCTTATTGTTTTTACCGGTATAAATATTGATTTTGTTATCAGTAAATTAAAACCAAACTTAATATCATTGTAATACATATATGTACATTCACGAGTCCACAATCTGTCGATACCTTTATTTTGGCATTGCACAAGGTCATGTTTTTCTCTGACTGTTAATGACTTCTTTACACTAAATCCATTGAATGTTGGATGTGTACTGATTTATGTATTAGTCTTAGACATGCTATTTCTATTATCTGTTATTGGCTTTGAACTAGCTTACAGTTTAAAGCGAATACTCTCAGATCTGTACGTTGTGTTTTTGTGTTAAGGTTTTTATGTGCTTTATATCGAACTGAAGAGTTCATTTCAACTGTTATTTTTAGCTCACCTGGCCCAAACTAAGCCACACCCATCATTGGGGCATTTAGCTTTAAAAATGTGTTCGATGACCCCGCCAGCCAACCAAGATGACCAACATGGCTAAAAATCGAACATAGGGGTAAAATGCAAGTTTTGTCTATTATTTTGAAAAACGTTATAAATATAGAAAATCTGACAGGAGCAGAAAAGTTCAAAATGTTGAACTCTACCAATTGTCCATATACGTTAAAACTTTCAGACGAATTCTAATAGGAGGTATTGCCCTTAAGGGCATACGATACAGTTACAGGGGAAGTAATGACGTTGATAACGTAAAATGTTATTTTCGCGACGTCAAACTGCGACATACCGGGAAAAGATACATTTTTCGACTGATTTTTATCATTCAGACTGATTTAACTTGAAAACGAGTTCATGGACCCCTCTTTTTAAAAATAGTAAATATGAAACCGAGTGCGGTAGGCGGAGGCAATAATCGACTTCCGTAAGTTCTGGTCAATGGTATCGGAAACATGCCGCTGATAGCGTCATTTTCCAAAAATTACATTAGGTTTGATTACGTATGAAGAATATTTCTACCAATTTTTATGAAAAAGTCAACAATGGAATTTTTTTAAATTAGATAAATATACAGCAAAACATGCCGTTTTTTTTCCTAAACTCGTGCAACTTTGATAAAAATAAATTATTTCCAAAGAATTGTTATCCAAAATAAGAACATACTTGTGTAAAAAAGATTTTCCAGATGTTTTTACAAAAATCCGCGTGTGTTTATCTTTTGAAACAAAAAAGTAAGGTATGTCTATCCAAAGGATAAACATGTGAAAAAAAAACGTAATTTTTGGTAAATGTCTAAAATTTCGACCCCATTTATCTCTTAAAGTAGCACATAAAGGTATATTTTTATTACATATTTGAATTGACAAGGTGAAAAATAGCTTGTTTGCAAAATGTCGTAAAAAAATCTACATGGGATCAAAATTGTATCGTATGCCCTTAAATGACAAATTTTACCATTTTTTTTTTCATTTTTGCCTTTTAATTTGAAAACTACAAGTGTTATTTGGATCGGTGTTATTTGGTCATTCGAGGTACCGCTGTTAAACCATACCTTTGTGCTACCCTGTTGTTCCGACAGTTATAGACATATATTTTTCATATATAAAGTTTCATACCACTTCAAATAGTTTCCATACAATTGTTTTAATAGGTTCTATACATTAAGGTTTCAGACCAGTTTCATACATGTAGGTTTCTGCCTATTTCCAAACATTTGGTTTGAACGAATACCAGACCGAGAGGGTTTTAAACAGTTTTGATTTACCAGGTTCGGGTTAAGTTGATATGTGTTGAAATTCACTTTAAATAGTATTTAATTGACTTTAGAAATTTTGCATTGCTCTTCAAATCCCAGCAAACTGGTACGTATCATAAACCCGAGGATAAACATATTAAAACGCCCTGTCCGGTTTCACGTTACACTCGTCTCGTGGGTTTATGTACTATTAAGAATGCAGTGATGTGATATTTTCCACTGAAAAAGCATGCATAGCATAGCATGTAGTACGAATTCATATGACCAGAGACAGATTAAGACCTTTCCCCGTTCATAAATACAACATATACATATATCCTAAATAAAAATAGGGCGAACGGACTATCAGGGCGAACAAACCTACGGCGAGCATGTAATCAGGGCGAACGGACCTAGGGCGAGCATGTTGCGAACAGATCTAGACCCGATTACCCCCCCCCCCCCCCCTTTTCTGGGACAATTTTTGTTGTAATATGCTGTACATCTTCTTCAGTTCTGACTAGACTAGCAGGGTCGGATACAGCTATTTTTAAAAAGAGGAACCTTACCCAGGATAAAGGGTCAGTTCCAACTAAATATCCCCATTCAAATGCATTGATCGTCACGTCAATAAAAAAGGGAGGTTTCAACCTCCGGAATCCCCTGCCCCCTGGATCCGCCACTGACGAGTCTCAATGTGTACAAACCTGACGTCAAATTATGTACTATAGAAGAAACAAATAGTATCACATTACACCCAAAAATCAATTACTGTTACTTCACATTACATTAATCCCCAAATTCAATTATATTACGATGTCAATGGAAGAAGTTCCCGCGCAAATGTCATGTGTTAAACGGGATACACTAAAAAAGAATTTTAGGTGTATGTTAGCATTCGCATTCCGATCAATTTACACAGTTCAATAAAATATATATGTTAACTATATTTATATTGGATTTGAATTTAGATACTCAGAGAAATGATTTGTTTCTCGCAGACAACGCTAAATAATATACATTAACTCGACATTGAATCTGAACACCCCTAAAGCAAAATGGTATATGCAATCGACCAAACAGATTTTCCTAATATTGATAAAGGTGAAATACGTAGAATAAGAATTGTGCACACTGAAATAAGATCAGAGATAAAGCCCTATGTAAAGTGAAAACCAAATAAAAAACATATATAAAATAATTGTTTATTAAATTTTCTGGCATAATAACCTTGAAGTTGAAACTAAAAACTATTACGTGTATCCTGTCAACCCCTGAAAAAAATAATACTGTCTCCTTGACTACTTCCGCGCGCCACGGACTTGAATAATATCTTGTGATAGTGTATGTTAATAATAGATAGAGAGAAACTTTAAATTGCAAAAATTATCAGCAAGGCAAAGTTCTACAAATAAGAGTAATAGTCGAAAACGCCAGTTGATTAATTATTAGAGTTATTGCCCTTTGATGACGATTTTTACCAATTTTTTGCGTTTTGCCTTATATGATAAAAATTGTAAAAGATAAATAGACACTTTGAATAAAAAAAAAATGATCAGCAAGGCAAGATCTAGTAACGGGTCAAATTTTATAGTTAGTAGACTGTCACGCTTTATAGGAGTGATTGCCCTTAGACCCTCTTTTGTGTTTTGAGCAAAACTAAAGAAGATAGAGAGAAACTAAACAGATTTAATGATCAGCAATACAAGACAGAGATTGTTGTCATGAATTCTATTCTCTATTCTGACTACAATATTGGAGAGTGTCCTTTGTTGAATATGTACATAGATCAAGGTGAGCGACACAGGCTCTTTAGAGCCTCTAGTTTTTATAGTTTGTTCTTTTGGTGTACTGTTACAGCACTGTCCCCAGGTAAGGGGAGGGTTTGGCGCCAGCAAACACGTTTAACCCCGCCACATGCTGTATGTGCCTGTCCCAAGTCAGGAGCCTATAATTCAGTGGATTTAGTTTGTTGCTGTATATAATATTTGTTTTTCGTTCATTGTTTGTACATACATCAGGCCGTTTGTTTTCTCGTTTGAATTGTTTTACATTTGTCATTTCGCTCATTTTGGGTTTTGCTCATTGTTGAAAACCGTACGGTGACCTATAATTGTTAACTTGTATGTCATTTGGTCTGGTAGCGAGTTGTCTCATTGGCAATCATACCACATCTTCTTTTTTTATATTAATAAAAACTAGAACAAAAGCACAAACAGATAAATAAAAATTAAATCTAGCTATACAAATACATTCTTCAACAATGGACAATCATCTATAACATATGTCAATTTCCTTAATCATTCCATTTGTAAAACGTAGCAAATGAATTGCATTTGAATGAAATAACCAAACTTTAAATAGTTTTAGCCTTTTTCTTGTAACTTGTACGGCTAAATTGTTTGGTTTTTAACGATATGAAACATAGTTTATTATGTGCTCTTCAACTGCGTTTTGATTTGGGTTTCAAACTGTTTGATTGAAGCGCCACTGATGAATTTTGTGTAGACGAAACACTTCTGATGTAATAAATCAGTCTGATATTAAGAATCTTTTATGTTTTTTTTTTTGTAATTAAAAGAAATTTTAAATGGAAAATACACAACCAACGCTTTCAAAATCTCTAAAGATTGTAGTTGGCATACAGTGAAGCAGAAAGGCATGAAAAAACAAGGCATATTAAGCTTGATTGTTTTATTCTAAGGGAAAATAAAGAGCTGATTTACAATAAACCCAATTAAGTACAGCTAGATATGTATGCTGAATATATCTTATTCAGACGCACGAAATTTATAAAACGTTATTTTCAATGATCATGTGCTCTAGGAATTCGTTCCATTACCAGTCGAATTATTTTCAAGTAATATAAATGATTTATTTGCTTCATAGAAAAATAATAAATATATAGTAAAGGTGAATTTCAAATGAAAATACTACATGAAGATTCAGCGCAAAATTCAGCTGTCTATTGATTTATTTAAATGATTTCTTTACTCTTTCTATCTTCTTTCATTAGACAACATGCTGAGATAAATCCAATAATCTGTAATAAAAGAGGAATGAACATTTAGTATTATCACATAACACATAACAGGATAACAGGAATTACCAAAAATATTTGACAGTACAACATACCATACAAACAACAACAAGCTACACATGGTCTATATAGCCTGACATGGTACAGACACACATGTGGTGGGGTTAAAAAAGCTTTACGTGAGAACAATACTTCTCATTCTTTGCCTATCTATACCATATGTCGTAATAGTGAAACACGTAATTATAATGTGATTTAACATTGTCTAGAATTCGTAATATATACACCCATTTTCAAATAAATAAATCATACATCACTCGATTTCTTGTTTCCTTTATTCCACGAATGTGTATTTTTCATTAACGCACAAAAAACCCTATATTAATCTTTTTTATGAAAAAAAATTGAAAACAACACGTTTAATAATTTAATGCGTCCGAAGCGCTTTTCTGGATTTACCTTCATCAGGAACGCTCAAAGCCAAACATTTGAAATCCGAGGGATGTATAAGTACCGAAACAGTTGAAGAGCTATATGACAAAAATACCTAAAACAAATAGCCAAATCCATTTAAGGTCAACTTTGCCTGAGGCAGTTGAAACCTTAGTTTCTTTATAATTTCAAAATTGAAATATGAACTGCGCTCTGACGTCCTATAACACCAGCAAATCTTAAAACAGACCGTCAGACGTTAAAGAAACTTTGATTATTTGTTACTGTGTTATATTTCCGTAGAAATGTACCGCTGGTAGCATCAATGCAATCTCATATGCTTTCAATCCCATCTTTGTTGGTTTATACCTTTACTTATTCATACTTTAACAAGCACTCACCTGTAACCCACCCATACACTTACCTGTAACCAACTCTTGCACTCACCTGCAACCCAACCATACACTCACCTGTAACCCACCCATACACACACCTGTAACCCAACCATACACTCACCTGTAACCCACTCATACACTCACATATAACCCACCCACCCATACACTTACCTGTAACCCACTCTTGCACTCACCTGCAACCCAACCATACACTCACCTGTAACCCACCCATACACACACCTGTAACCCAACCATACACTCACCTGTAACCCACTCATACACTCACATATAACCCACCCACCCATACACTTACCTGTAACCCACTCTTGCACTCACCTGCAACCCAACCATACACTCACCTGTAACCCACCCATACACACACCTGTAACCCAACCATACACTCACCTGTAACCCACTCATACACTCACATATAACCCACCCATACACTCACATATAACCCACCCATACACTCACCTGCAACCTACCCATACACTCACCTGTAACCCATCCATACACTCACCTGTAACCCACCCATACCTGCTGCAATACCAATCAGTATGTTGAAATATTTACTGAATTCTTCTTTCAGTGCTTCATAACACCCCTGAAATGAGTAATCAGTACATTATCATAATGTTCAGTTTAATAATCTGTAGGTATATAATTTGACATATATAAAGGCAGAAGAAATTATGAAAAAAAGCTCGGAAAAAAGTTCAGTGAAAACTAAAGCCCACTGTTCTGTTTATTAGTGTAATATTTTTTCGGTAGCGAGCTATTGGAGAAAGAAAACATTATGTCTTCTCCCTTACGGCGTTCAACTCATTAGGGTCGAAAATAAAGATCTGCGGGATTAACTACTCGCCGTGGAAAGCTTAGAAAAGGTGTTCTGGACCTGGGGGAAAACGAAAAAGAGCACATGGACGATCGTGTCGCTTACCAGCGGAGATTTTCCGGATTTTGCCAGGCATGAACTGATCAATTTAATCAAATCACAATAATTTAAACAGTATTCGCCAAGTGTTTAACTATATTTATAAAGTGTTATTTTGTTTGAAAGATTAATCAAATGAGTGGAGATTCAGCCATACAAAATAAAACTTAACTCCTTTTACTGTACATTGTCTTCATTATCTATATTTAATACAAATATTCTACGCTTGCTGTTTTACTAATTTTAATATCATATTTTTAAGTTAATAAATATTCAATTGAATTTTAACCCTATGAACTGTCGGTGGGAGGCAACTTACTGTAGTATGCGCTCCAGCCTGAGTAACTGGACATTGTTTATCCTCCATCGAATTAAGGAAGGCTGTCATATCATCGGGGAAAGCATCTTTACTGGTAAACTGACAACACGTAAGAGGTATCGTTGCTGTTGCTGTGACGTAAACACCTCCTCCTGAATCATACACATAGGTAGTATTCCATGTGTTGATAGAAGCATACTCAGTTCGATTGACTACACCACAACAATCAAGCTGAAATTATTAGAAATATTGAAATTACAGATTTATTTTTGATTGATGATTTTTTTTTATCCTGTTTTGAATTTAGGTCAGAGTCAGTGTGTTTGAAGTTTGTATAACATTATATTGATATAATATCTGTTGACGGCAATATTCCAGATAAATGAAAAAGGTATAGAAACGCTTTTTATAAATATTTCAAAGGATTTTGGAACCATTAAATTTAGTTTGATATAAATTTTATGATGAGATATGAAAAGATTTATATAATCATGCTGAAAATAAAATACAATATTTTAATAACAGGGAAAGTCAGGAAGAACCCTTAATCTATCATTATCCGTTGGCCGTTTCTATGAAGTTACGTCTCATCGAAAACATGTGCTAGGGTATTCTGTATTTCTACTCACCAGTATTTGTGCAAGATCAAATGCCAAGCTGACAGCATTAGAAGTAGCATACGGACCAATGTAGTTGTCATTCAGCATGGTCTGCAAATTGTCTTTTGCGTAGGTCTCCATCTGTCAGATAGATTTTGGCTTAATCGTACTCATTATAAAGTAAATTGCGCTAATTAATAGTTTAATGCATCTTCAAGTTTCTTTAAGGTTGTATAAGTAAAACACCTTTACAGGTCGACCTTCTTTGTATATTTTTATGATTTTTGTCAATTTGATCTCGTTCTTAATATGCTTCAGATGTTTGCATCGTGAATTAAAGCAAACATCAATCGATCAGTTATTTTCTTTACAAAAAGTGTCAATTTATATTCATGAAAAAAAATTAAATTCTTGCATTTCTTCCCGCAGAAGATAGCCAATGTCTTACAGCATGGTTAATTTATCTAACACAGTCTCTAAGTGATAGTTTGGTATAATAACATTAACGATACCAATTTTCTTCCTAAATATGTCTCTTTGTATTGAATTGTTTCTACTAATAGCTTTTGTAGACGGAACGCGCGTCTAGCGTACACAATTGTAAACCTGGTATCTATGATGAGTTTATTTAACAGTTTCTAATTTTACCAAGTAATAATGTGACAGATTTTGATTTTGCCCACCAATATGTATCATGGTATGTTGTTTGCTTTTTAAAGTACTGAAGGGTTTGATATATTGGTCATTTCCATTATTAATAATGTTTGTTGGGTTGTAACTTTACGTACATAGCCATTAAAACTAAGGACGTGAATGAAAGCAATTATTGGAACGCCGTTATGTGTCGGTTAGATTAGCTATGCCATGTTCCAATTTAAACGATATTTATCGAAGAAAATAATTTAAATATACAGTGTATATCATTTCGAAATAAACAACTTACAAAGGCCCTCTTCATTTAATTAATTAAGATAATAAACATGCATCAACTATATATAAATAAAATAACTATTTTCGAGTTCATGCTTTGTCAGAGCTCTATATTTTGGGATCAAGTATGTCCTAAGTATTTACCAGAGTATAGACAAAGAGAACGGAATGAAGATAGGAGTAGGAAACATGAAAATGTGTCATGAATGTCTTACGTGGAATTTTTGAAAAAACCTTATGTTTGTTTAGATTCCACATGATTCAAATTTACCAATTTTATGTCATAAAAGTCATTTTAAAAATCTCTATTTCTTTCACGAAATATTTTTGCGCAAGCTTTTTCCCAAAACATAAATCAGAATATTGATACCCATTTTCCTCGGTTGTTTAAATTATTGCTCATTTTCAACGTTTGTTTTAGTATGTTCAATGTACTAGTATACAGACAGTTATTTTGCGAATCGATAAAATAGCTGATTGATGTTCATTGACTAAGCAATGATTGCTTTGAAAAGAACACCACTCCATTTTCGCATACACTATTCAATGATTTGCGATTTTGCACTATCCGATAGAGAAATTCAAGTCTCCCATACGAACGCGGGAAGTCTCAAAAACCAAAAGTCAGATATACTTAAGTATTTATCGATTTTTTATCGAATCACAAATGGTTATCGGGGAAAGAGTGCGCAAGACGTATTCGTGGAACAAAAGATAATGACAGTCCTACGTATAAGTAAGGCAAAAATGATGAGACTAGACATAACATATATGTTATATTACCTTGTTCATGAAAACTGCAGCCAGTATTGCAGCTACCACTTCCAATACAATCATCAATCCAACTATAATTACATACTGAAATTTGAAACCGTAAAGGATTTCAGAGGCAACCATACACATTTAATGGTAGGTATGCATTTTTTTTTTTCATTTTCATTTCCTCATAACTTACTTATCAAGAAAAATACTTAGCGTAAAGGGGCATCACGACAAAATGTTTTGACCGGGAAAAAATATTATGATTTTCTTTAAAAGAAAGGTTATCAATTATTATAGCACCTTTGATATTCTTCGTATTAAGTATACTAAATAATGTTATGTCACATTTGGTGACCAGTCATAATCAAGAAAAGCAGTTCGGAATTGTTGCTACACCAAATTGAACATATCCATGGTCATTTGTCAAATACGAGTAAATAGTCTGATCGGTCAATCAAGTAATGATTGCGCATGTGAAACTTTGAAAGAGATGACGTCCACTTTCCCTTTGGAACTCTTGCATCAGTAACTTTCCTGTACGCAGCAATCCTTTATCAAGAAAATGTTGACAAAAACACAAGGTTTTATCACCTGAACTTTGAGATGTATACTTCATAGATACAGGTGCTGCTGGAACATTAGTACATAAAACTTTAAAATTACAATGGTAAAATATTCCCTTTGTAGTAAAGAAGTTTTCAATCGAGCAACAATATCGATTTGTATGATTCATTCAACACATGAAGCACACAAAGCACATCTGAGTATTGTTTATTTCAGGTTCAATAAGAAAGATACGGAAGCCGATAAGGGCCATTCAAAAAAAAAAAATTATGTCGTAATTACGACATAGCATGTCGTAATTTCGACATAACATGTCGTTATAACGACATCGCTATATCGTAATTTCGACATAACATGTCGTTATAACGACATCGCTATGTCGTAATTTCGACATAACATGTCGTTATTACGACATCACTATGTCGTAATAACGACATCGCTATATATATATAAAAGAATATGTATTATGATTGCCAAGAGACTTAATGACACAGAAATTAACAACTATAGGTCATCATAATGGCCTCAATAATGAGAAAAGCCCCCGCATAGTCAGCTATGAAAGAGGGACGAAAGATACCAGAGGGAGAGTCCCCGACATGACAGCTGTTTAATAATTTAATTCAAACGAATGAAAATAACGGTTTTAATAATGTACAAACATAGACCGAAAAACGAATATGTAACACAGCAAACAAATGACAACCACTGAATTACAGACTCCTGACCGCTATGTGATAATAACGGCAACCTTATAGTTTAACTTTTCACTTTTTGATGCGATAGGCATTTCAAAATGGTTGTCAGTAAAGGCAAAGTTTGTAGCGGAAACAAATTCATCTTTTTTTTTTTAGAATAATGAACACTATATGCAATCAAGCTTAATTAAAGTTATTCACTTGCACCTCAGACTTGCACATACTAGAACTTTATTTATAATCAAGTCAAATGAGACCCAGTTGAATAGGGGAGCAATTCAAGCTCCTTGGAGCCTCTAATTATGTTTGGCATGTACAGATTTGTGTAAATTATGAAGTCCTGCATTTCCATTGCAGGTTCTGAATAAGATGAATTTTAAGCTTTTCCCAATAAAGACTATGTTAAACTTTGGACTCATAGTGCTCAGACCCACGGATCTCTGTACCTTCATTTGTACACACTTGAATCTTAATGTACAGTAACTACTGAGGCTTGATGCAAATTATTACTGCATTGCTATTGTTGGTTCTTAATGAGATTCTTCAAGCGTCCTCCCCATTGAAGCCCTATTAAAACTTTGTACCCCAAGTTCTTTTAACCACTGTTCCCCAGGGCAACTATTCTTACAAACTTAAGGGGAGGGTTAGGATTCCGCTAACATGTTTAACCCCGCCACATTCTTTATGTATGTGTATGTCCCAAGTCTTTAATTTACATATTTGTTTTTCGTTTATTTTTGTACATAAAATAGGCCGCTAGTTTTTCTCGTTTGAATTGTATTACATTTGTCATTTCGGGGCCTTTTATGGCTGACTATGCGGTATGGGCTGTGATCATTGTTGAAGGCCGTACGGTGACTTTAATTGTAAATTTCTGTGTCATTTGGTTTCTTGTTGAGAGTTGCGTTTTTGAACAAACCAGCGTATCCCAAGGCCTTGATAACCTCTGTAGGCCCCAAATAAGACGAAAAAAAACATCAAAATTGGAGAGAAAACTGAAAAAAATTGTTTCTAACCTCAGGGATATTAACCCTTGGCTATCTTAGATTTAATGCAATCAGTATGCATCAGCATCAGGGTACAGCTCATTTGCATATCATTTGCATATTTTTACAAATACTCGAAATTTAGACAATTTCTGATAACAATTCAGCATGCCAAGGGTTAATATCCCTGAGGTTAGAAACCATTTATTTTCTGTTTTTTCTCCAATTTTGATGTTTTTTCGTCTTATTTGGGGCCTACAGAGGTTATCAAGGCTTTGGGATACGCTGGTTTGTTCAAAAACGCAACTCTCAACAAGAAACCAAATGACACAGAAATTAACAATTATAGGTCACCGTACGGCCTTCAACAATGATCACAGCCCATACCGCATAGTCAGCTATAAAAGGCCCCGAAATGACAAATGTAATACAATTCAAACGAGAAAAACTAGCGGCCTATTCTATGTACAAAAATAAACGAAAAACAAATATGTAAATTAAAGACTTGGGACAGACACATACATTAAGAATGTGGCGGGGTTAAACATGTTAGCGGGATCCCAAACCTCCCTCTAAGTTTGTAGGAATAGTTGTCCTGGGGAACAGTGGTTAAAAGAACTTGGGGTACAAAGTTTTAATAGGGCTTCAATGGGGAGGACGCTTGAAGAATCTCATTAAGAACCAACAATAGCAATACAGTTATAATTTGCTTCAAGCCTCAGTAGTTCATTAAGATTCAAGTGTGTACAAATGAAGGTACAGAGATCCGTGGGTCTGAGCACTATGAGTCCAAAGTTTAACATAGTCTTTATTGGGAAAAGCTTAAAATTCATCTTATTCAGAACCTGCAATGCCAAACATAATTAGAGGATCCAGGGAGCTTGAATTGCTCCCCTATTCAACTGGGTCTCATTTGACTTGATTATAAATAAAGTTCTAGTATGTGCAAGTCTGAGGTGCTAGTGAATAACTTTAATTAAGCTTGATTGCATAAAGTGTTCAATATTCTAAAAAAAAAAAGATGAATTTGTTTACGATACAAACTTTGCCTTTACTGGCGACCATTTTGAAATTCCTATCGCTTCAAAAAGTGAAAAGTTAAACTATAAGGTTGTCGTTATTATCAGATAGCGGTCAGGAGTCTGTAATTCAGTGGTTGTCATTTGTTGCTGTGTTACATATTCGTGTTTCGGTCTTTGTTTGTACATTATTAAAACCGTTATTTTCACTCGTTTGAATTAAATTGTTAAACTGCTGTCATTTCGGGGACTCTCCCTCTGGTATCTTTCGTCCCTCTTTCATAGCTGACTATGCGGGGGCTTTTCTCATTATTGAGGGCATTATGATGACCTATAGTTGCTTATTTCTGTGTCATTTAGTCTCTTGGCAATCATAATACATATTCTTTTATATATATAGCGATGTCGTTTTTACGACATAGCTATGTCGTAATTACGACATAGCTATAGTGATGTCGTAATTACGACTTGTTATGTCGAAATTACGACATTGCGATGTCGTTATAACGACATGTTATGTCGAAATTACGACATAGCGATGTCGTTATAACGACATGCTATGTCGAAATTACGACATAGCTATAGTGATGTCGTAATTACGACTTGGTATGTCGAAATTACGACATATCGATGTCGTTATAACGACATGTTATGTCGAAATTACGACATAGCGATGTCGTTTAAACGACATGTTATGTCGTTTTAACGACATGTTATGTCGAAATTACGACATAGTGATGTCGTTATTACGACATGTTATGTCGTAATTACGACATAAAATTTTTTTTTTGAATGGCCCTTATCGGCTTCCGTATTCTACGGAAGCCGATAAGGGCCATTCAAAAAAAAAATTTTATGTCGTAATTACGACATAACATGTCGTAATAACGACATCACTATGTCGTAATTTCGATACTGACAACCATTTTGAAATGCCTATCGCATCAAAAAGTGAAAAGTTAAACTATAAGGTTGCCGTTATTATCACATAGCGGTCAGGAGTCTGTAATTCAGTGGTTGTCATTTGTTTGCTGTGTTACATATTCGTTTTTCGGTCTATGTTTGTACATTATTAAAACCGTTATTTTCATTCGTTTGAATTAAATTATTAAACAGCTGTCATGTCGGGGACTCTCCCTCTGGTATCTTTCGTCCCTCTTTCATAGCTGACTATGCGGGGGCTTTTCTCATTATTGAGGCCATTATGATGACCTATAGTTGTTAATTTCTGTGTCATTAAGTCTCTTGGCAATCATAATACATATTCTTTTATATATATATAGCGATGTCGTTATTACGACATAGTGATGTCGTAATAACGACATGTTATGTCGAAATTACGACATAGCGATGTCGTTATAACGACATGTTATGTCGAAATTACGATATAGCGATGTCGTTATAACGACATGTTATGTCGAAATTACGACATGCTATGTCGTAATTACGACATAATTTTTTTTTTTTGAATGGCCCTTATCGGCTTCCGTAGTAGAAAGATGCTATTGGCATAAAAATTATAGGATGTAGATGCATACTCCCATGAAAAAAAATATCAAATTAAAAATTGTTGTTTTTTGGAACAAGTGGATAAAAAAAAGGAAGATCGGTTATGCCGGCTATATGTTAATAAACACCCGAACCAACAATTAAATGTAAATGAAAATAATTCTTTAAACTGACTTCATACAGAAGCCTATTAGAATGAATGATAAGAAGCTAACATAATCCTTTTAACTTCACTTTCCGATATATTGATGATATCCTCTCACTTCATAATTCAAAGCTTGGTGACTATGTTGAACGCATCTATTCCATTGAACTCGAAATAAAGAATACGACAGATACAGTTACGTCTGTCGTATATCTTGACGCACAATTAGAAATTGGAAATGAGGGTCGACTGTGAACAAAACTTTACGACGAAAGTGATGATTTCAGCTTCCCAATTGTAAACTTTTCATTTCTATTTAGCAACATTCCAGCAGCGTCTGCACATGGAGTATTTAGCTCCCAGTTGATACGATATTCCAGAGCTTGCATTTCCTATCATGATTTGTTTGATAGAGGGTTGCTGCTTACAAGGGAGATATAAAACCAAGAGTTCAAAATGGTGAAGTTACAGCCATCCCTTCAAAAAATTTACGGACACCATTACGAGTTGGCTTACCGTTATGGAATATCTGTTTCACAGATGACGACACATAGTTATGATCAAATTGTCGTAATCACAATATTTCCCTCTTTTTCTCGAATGTGACCTACCGAATTAGATTAGCATCGGGTTTTGACTTATATGAGCAAAACAACGTTTGCCACATGTGGAGAAGGATCTGCTTACACTTCCGGATCATTCTCGATTTTTTGTGGGGTTCGTGGTGCTCAGTCTTCAGTTTTCTATGCTGTGTTTTGTATACTGTTATTTGTCTTTTGATCGTTTTTCGTTTATTGCCATGACATCGTTAGTTTGCTTTCGACTTACGGACTTATGAGCTGAATATCCCTTCGGTATCTTTCGCCTATTTTTTTTATGAATTTCGTGCATCCAACGCAATTTTCTAGATATCTCTTCATTAAGAACGCCGCAAACCAAAAATAAAGCGTGCATTTGAAAGCCACGTAACAAGATCAATAATTATAGAAATCTTTAGCAAATATGAGATACATGATTACTGAGGTCCGGGAAGCTTTTTTCAGAACTGTTTTATTTATAACTTACTGTTCTCAGTAAACATTTGTTCTTCAGACATGCTCCACAACATCCAACAAATGATATAAACACAATGAATGAACCTATGGCAATAAAGACATAGGCGGCCCTTTCTATCAAAGATGGTGCATCAATGGTGTCCACAGCCCCATCAGTGGCGCTTCGTGCTAATATCAGTATATCATTTTTAGCCACAAGAACATAGATACCGCCACCTAAACAAGCTCCACCAAATAGCTGAAACATATAAAATAAGATTTGTTTACATAATATCTCATATGTTGAAAAAAATTGTAGAAAGACGTAAAATTCCAAAAAAAAAAGAGGGATTGATTTAGATAAAAACTTGATGTTTAGAAGCATTTTTACAAATCCTTCACATTTCGAATTGCGTTCTTACTATTGAATCGGGGCACTCACAAGAGCATCTATGCCTTATTTTCCCCTTTCATTTTTTAAGAGAAAATAAAGATTAAGAACGAAATTTGTAAACCCCTTAACCAAAGTCCTTGCATTTTACTTGCAATGAGCAACACATTTATGGTATCTGAAAAACTATATTATTTTTGTAAATTACTAATCTGATTGTTTACATGAATGATTGATTTTGTCGTCGTTGAACTCTAAAATTAAGAAGATAAAATTGAGAATGGAACATATCTATTGTAAATAAAGTTTTATAGTGTATGATCAAAAGACTATGGCAGCCGTTGTGATAAGAAAAGTTTGCTTATCTTCTTTAGTGTCACTTCTTTTTTTTTTGGTGGTGGTGGTTTGGTGGGGTGGGGGTAGAAAATCATCACATAAATTTACCAAAGAAACCGGGGTCAACATTTTGTATCACTTTCACCAATCTGAATCGAAATCTTTTGAATCTGAATATACGCAGTTTGCTATAGACTTGTCTTTACATTTAGCCTGATAGGAAAATTAGTCAAATTATCAATTCTGTCATATAACCAAAACGTTTTAAGGTTTGAGATATTTACAAATTTATGCGGAGTCATGATAGAGAAATTAATAAAGGAGATTTTAGGTATACGCCAATGAGACAGCAAACGACTTTCAAATACAAATCTGTTTTTTCAAGCCAATACAATATCGGTCAATTTTTTGATGTTTTTGTGGTTTTGTTAATAATAAATCTTTCAACAGTGGTGCAAATTTTGATATTTGTGAATATTTAACGTGCTCTTCTTATAACATATGAAAAAATGAGCCTTTCTTATTTTCTTAAAGTTGTAATTTGTTTATTCTTGTGTATTAACTGCACAATGCATGATACTTTCCTTATTTCCTACTACAGTTTTACATTATAAAAAAAAACTTTTCTTACCAAGAAAAGTATTCCAAATGTGATCAGAAAAAATTTTGACAATCCGTCACAACATCCCATGTTTCTCCTTTTTTAAAAATACAGTGTTTTAGATAGATTTCGAAATGAAAATCGTGTATGTCCAGTGTAATAAAATGTTATCTTTCTATCAGTGCGTGACTCTTATTCTTTACATAAGAATAAAACTTGAAGGTAAAATAAAGTTAAATGGATCGAATTTAAACTTTACCACATTGTAATTTCAATACAAATCGTAATTACGTGTACGTCTTTCTTCACTTTGTATGTAATTTCCATAATTATTACAAGTTAACAACTTTAAAACTTCACCCTTAACTATTTTTATTCAATTCTGTATGATTGAAAAATAGTTAAAACATAATCTTTGCTTCCAAACAGTAAAATGTAATTTTTATAATAAGCTATACATGTATTCTATTTTTTAACTTTTATTTTAATTACCGTTATCCATTTTTCTTATAAATGAATCGGGTATTAAAATGCAAGATAACTAGTTTCAGAAGAACACACATTTACATTTTATGATATATATAATTAAGAGAGGATATATTTCCTTCTAGAAAGTAAAACTGGAGGAAAACATTGATAGTTTTATCCAAGTAATATCAAATCACTGACATACTGTTTACTCCGATGACAAAAAGGTCCACGGCCCACTAATTAAAACTAGAAGTTTCAATATCTCATCGTAGAACGCTAGAGGTAACTATCAGAAATAACATCACATTAAATCTAAAAATGCCCCAAGAGTATATCTGTTGTTTATCCTGTATAAAAATTGTTTTTTAGGGCGTTTGGTTACTGTATTGTTGACGTAAACACCACATATTCTTTCATTCATAAGTACTGTTAAAAACCGTCTGTGGACCTCTGGAAGTTATCTGTTCCTTTTTGTGTTGTTCATTTGCTTTTTCATTAATTGACCTATACATAAATCGACTTCAATGCCTATCTAAGCGATCATTTAAAAAAATATCGTTATTCAAAAAATTCAGGCATAGGACACATATCGATGGAGTTTCTATTAAACGAAATAAAATGGCAGAAATGTAATTAATTACGTAGACAGTGTGTGCATCTGCTGTTTGAAGTCATGGTAACAAGGACAATTTAAAAATATATTTGAATTCCATGATGTAATAAAAACGGTTATAACCATGAAGTTGTTCATCCGTTTCAAAAGACAAAAGACATATCTTGATCAGTAGATTAAGTATTTATTATACAAAATAATTAGTATACCACAACATTTGTTCATAAGATTTAATAGATATAAGAAGATGTGGTATGAGTGCCAATGAGACAACTCTTCAAAACCTGTTTTTTAACGATAGAGGGAAAAACCCTTTGAAAATACCAGTATTTTATCATTTTGTACATAGATTTCAATGACTACGAGAAAATATTTATGGTAAGTATTTTTCTGTAAAAACGTCTGTTTCAATTGTTTCTAAATTTATTTATAAAAGTTGTATTCAATTTTATATTCCCATTAGCCAAGTGGATGGTTAAATGATTCATGTGTCCCTCGGTCTGTGTTCACTTTTTGTCTTTTGCCCTACTCCACCCTTGTGCTTTCTACCCGTTACTCCTATGACACAACTGACTGGAAATTTCCTCAACGGTTTATATACCCTTTGAGTATAGCTTGTAATTTAGAAGCTTCCGGTAGTGAATTAAGAGAAGAAACAGATTGTCTGATTGACCAGAAAAATAAAATAATGCATCAAACATACCTGATACAAAACTAACAAATCAAAGATCAAAGCGTAAAAACGCACACCTTTGCATCCCATTGTATAGATTTGCAAAAGAAAAAAGAATTTGATCACAAACAGTATTGGATGTGCATTATGGCAATATGCTAGAAATAGTCTATATAAATACAAGAAGATGTAGTCGGATTGCCAGTGAGACAAATATCCATCAGAGTTCAAAATGACGTAGAAGTAAGCAGTACAACCTGCAGCAATGAGCAAAACTCATGCCATAGAGTAAGCTATATTAAAGGTCCCAACAAAACAACAGTCTGATGATTGTTTCATTGAAATGAAGTCAGTAAAATCAAAACCATTACAGGCTTTTTTTTCTTTTTTTTTTAACATTAACAAATTCTTTATTGCACTAGTATCTAGTTGTTAACAACTGCCCTATATAGTATTTACCATTACATGCTTTATTAAATTAATAATAAATGATTACGTTACTTTTTATTTCAGTACTATTTACAGAATGATAGTATTATTCATACTTTTAACCATCTTTTACTTGGTGAATTCTAAAGAACAAGGTGCTTGTGAGTTCGACAACCTTTGTCATAGCTGCAGAAATAGCACTTTATCTATCTTGGACTGTTCACGGAATAACATACCAACTATTCCCATTTTCCCACGTGGAGTACGTGCTGTAAATCTCAAATTCAATAAAATTGAAATAATCAGAAATGGAGCTTTCAAAATGCTACAAAATCTTACTAAATTAGACCTTTCCTTTAATCGGTTGGTTGAGTTAGAAAGAGATGCCTTTGTTAGATTGAATAGATTACAGAAACTTAGTCTGCAAAATAATTCACTCAGATACAGATTCTTCTGTGATTCAGTGTTTACACCTTTGGTATCATTGGAGTATTTAAATATAAAGTTTATTGGCAAACCTGCAGAAGACAACTTACTGGAAAGTGATATATTTGACATACACGTACCGACACTGGAAACACTTGAAATTGACGTGTTTTTTCCTGTTAATTCAAAAGACTCTGGTTTTTTCTCATCAAATATCACAAGTTTGAAAGCACTGATTACGGGAATTTGTGTGATTACTGAACTTCAAGAAACCACGTTTGATAATTTTAAATATTAAGAGTATATTGATTTATCATCGTGTCCAATACAAACATACCAAAGTAATACACTGAAGTATAGGTATATCAAGTATTTGGATTTATCGAACACGTACTTTTTGTCGGACGATGTTAGCTTTTTTACAATATGAACGACATTAAGTCCTGTGCTGTCGATAGACTAGTTTTGTCAAATACTGTAAAGGATAATGATGAGGTCTTTCATCATTTCATTTCAAATCTTTTTAGGTATTTATTCTATACAGGAATAAGAGAATTGCGTTTAAGCTATAATAGTTTGAAGAAAATAGAATGGCGAACCGATGAAATTTCAAGTGACATGACGAAAATAATTTTGTCACATACAAAGACTGAACAACATGGATACATTTATGATATTCCAATTACTCTTCAAACCCTAGATCTTTCACATAACTCTCTCATTCGATTTGATTATCCAGTAGGAAATGTTGTGTGTTTAAATTTAAGCCATAATATACTTTCAGAGATTGAATATGGCGTGCACGTAAACAATAAACATCGTACCAATTTAAAAGTTTTGGACTTATCCAATAACAGAATCAAATCGTTGAATCATAAAAGCATGGACATTTTGTCGAAATTTATTGAAAATCAAGACTTTGCACTTTGACAAATGCACTAATAACACAACTGGAAAGACAATGTCTACCTTTAACGGGCGTCATCTTTTGCACATCTCTTGGTATTTTTATTACTTGTATCATCATTGTAATAAAACTAGTTTATCGAAATAGTTCTTTGTAATCATTATCTCAAGAAAAATAAATATCGGAACACGTCGGAATCAACAGAGTTAAAAGAGAGCTTTATTTATGACGCATTCGTTGGTTTTGCAGAAGAAGATATGTAATTTGTTCTTAAAATTTGCATCCATCATCGTGACTTCCTGCCTGGAGAATGAATAACCGTTAACATAGCGAACGCCATCCACAGAAATGTATAATCACCAAATCTTTTCTTGAGTCATATATCTGCATGTTTGAGTTCAACATGGCTTCAATGGAGGGCATTTATGCTCGATAGGGAGAGGATACTTTAATACTGGTGTTCTGTATAGAAATCTTACAATGTGACTTACCTCTTGTGTTGTTGTAGTTTGTACAACGGAGATCTTAAATTCCTTATCATGATGATCAGAGAGAAAATATTGAATTCTGGTACAGAATAAAAAAGACTATTTGTGGCAGTGAGTTAGAGGTACGGATGCTGAGCATGTCATTTGTGTAATATAACTCTTCTCAATTTTGAGCCGCCTAAAAATTATATAACATCTTACAGACTTAAAAATTATTTGATTTATTCAATAACAGAATCAAATCGTTTAATCATAAAAGCATGATCATTTTGTCGCAATTAATGGAAAATCAAAACTTTTCTTAAAATTTGGAAAATAACAACCTTCAATGTACCTGTGACACAATCAATTTTCTTCGTTGGATGCAAAATAACCTCCATCATTTCCAGAACAATGATTTATATAAATGTCAATTCAAAGATGGCAGTGTTGTGGTACTAAATGACCTAAACACAAGTATAACACGACTAGAAAAACAATGTCTATCTTTAACGGGCGTCATCGTTTGCACATCTCTGGGTATCTTTATTACTTGTATTATCATTGCAATTAAATTGGTTTATCGAAATCGTTGGATAGTACTTTACTACTATTATCTCAAGAAAAGTAAAGATTTGAACACTTCGAAATCAACAGAGTTAGAAGAGGGCTTTATTTATGACGCATTCGTTGCTTATGCGGAAGACGATATGAAATTTGTTCATGAAGACTGCATTCAAAACTTGAAAACTGACAAGAACTTAAACTTTTGCATCCATCATCGTGACTTCCTACCTGGAGAAGAAATAACCGTTAACATAACTAACGCCATCCACAGAAGTAGAAAAACAAAATGTATAATCACCAAATCTTTTCTTGAGTCATATTATTGCATGTTTGAGTTCAACATGGCTAAGACGGAGGGCATTTATTCTCGAAAGGGAGAGAATACGTTAATACTGGTGTTCTGTGAAGATATCTTACCACGTGACTTACCTCTTGTGTTGTTGGAGCTTGTACAACGGAGATCTTACATTCCTTATCATGATGATCAACGAGGAAATGTTGAATTCTGGGAGAGAATAAAAGAGGCCATTTGTGGCAGTGAGTTAGAGGTACGGATGCTGAGCATTTCATCTGTGGAAGCCAAATCTTCTATATTTTCAGCAGCCCTAGAAAAATGTTCATTCAAGA